AGATAATAGCAATAGCAATAGCAATAGCAGTTAGACTTATATACCACTTCATAGGGCTTTCAGCCCTCTCTAAGCGGTTTACAGAGTCAGCATATTGCCCCCAACAATCCGGGTCCTCATTTTACCCACCTTGGAAGGATGGAAGGCTGAGTCAACCTTGAGCTGGTGAGATTTGAACAGCCGAACTGCAGAACTGCAGTCAGCTGAAGTAGCCTGCAGTGCTGCACTCTAACCACTGCGCCACCTCGGCTCTCTAGCTTGAGCATTGTTTCTCATTGTTTGTCAACTTTTAAGATGAATCAGAATAGAACTGGAAGGGGCCTTGGAGGTCTTCTAGTCCAGCCCCCTGGCTGAAGCAGGAGATCCTATATCATGTCAGACAAGTGACTGTTCGGTCTTTTCTTAAAAACCTCCAGTGATAAAAGCACCCAAAACTTCTGGAGGCAAGCTGTTCTATTGGTTAATCGTCCTCATTGTTGGGAAGTTTTTCCTTCGTTCTAGATTATCTGTCTCCTTGATTAGTTTCCATCCATTGTTTCTTGCCCTGCCTTCTGGTGCTTTGGAAAATAAATTGACCCTCCTCTTCTTTGTGGCAGCCCCTCAAATACTGGAATGCTGCTATCACCCACCTAGTCCTTCTTTTCTCTAGACTAGCCAAACCGAAATCCTGCAACTATTCTTCATATGTTTTAGTCTCCAGGCCCTTAATCATCTTCGCTGCTTTTCTTTGCACTTTTCCCAAAGTCTCAACATCTTTTTTGTAATGTGGTGACCAAAACTGGATGTTGTATTCCAGGTGTGGGGGTGTGTCTTACTTTATAAAGTAGTACTGATGCATCACATGATTTTGATTCCGATTTTGATGCGTGGACTTCATCTGCCAGGATTATCCAAATGTGAAGGTGGAGTTTGTGGTTGCATGCTGACACTCCATCCCTTTTTAACACCTTTCTCTCTTTGTTCCAGCCGGGGACAGCTGGAAGGCCAAAACAGAGGAAGAAGTCAATGGAGTGTTTTTAGAGAAGGCTGTGGATAAGGAAGAGGGAAAGCAGAGCCGGAAGGTGGAAGAGAAAAAAAAGAGGACGACTCTATCCCCTGTTTTTCGGGATGCTGCCACCTGTAAATTCCCAGTTCTAGAAACCAAATGCAACAGGAAAAGGAGCAGCCAGGGCCTGGCGTGCGGGGAAAGCTTCAGCTGCAAGTTGAGCCTCAACGCACATTTGAAAACCCACAAAGAGGAGAAACCCTTTAAGTGTCCCGACTGTGGGAAAAGCTTCTCCCAGAGGAAAGGCCTGATAAGGCATGAGAGGATTCACACAGGGGAGAAGCCCTACGCCTGCCTGGAATGTGGGAAGAGCTTCTGTCAGAGCGCGGCCCTCATCACCCACCAGCGCATTCACACTGGGGAGAAGCCGTACACTTGCCTGGAGTGCGGAAAGAGTTTCTGCCAGAAGACCACACTGGTCCGCCACCAACGAATCCACACGGGCGAGAAGCCCTACGCGTGCGGGGAGTGCGGGAAAAGTTTCAGCCATCGGTCGCAACTGACGTCCCACCTGAGAGTCCACACAGGGGAGAGACCGTACAAATGTTCGGAATGCGGGAAGAGTTTCAGCCAGAACACAAACCTGACGTTGCACCAACGAACTCACACCGGGGAGAAACCCTTCCGGTGCCTGGAGTGCGGGAGGAGCTTTAGCCACAGCTCGACTCTAATGGCCCATCAGAGAACTCACACGGGAGAGAAGCCGTTCACCTGCTTGGACTGCGGGCAGAGTTTTGCCCAAAACGCCAGCCTTATTTTCCATCAAAGAACCCACACGGGGGAAAAACCCTACACGTGTCCAGACTGTGGTAAAAGTTTTAGCACCAGCACCAGCCTGACTTCGCACCGCCGGATTCACACGGGCGAGAAGCCCTATGTGTGTGCCGAGTGCGGGAAGAGCTTCTGCACGAGTACAAATCTTGTCACCCATCAAAGGATCCACACAGGCGAAAAGCCATTCAAATGTTCTGAGTGTGGGGAGAACTTCCGTAAAAAAGCCCATCTTCTGCGCCACCACCTGACGCACACCGGAGAGAAGCCGTACAAGTGCGTGGTGTGTGGGAAGAGATTTAGTGAGAAAAGGAACCTTAATTCACATCAAAGGATCCACTCGGCGTATTGGAGTGAGGATCCTCGCAGCAGCGGTTGGGGGCTCCCTTCCCTAAATTCAGATTGTCCTCCCATTTCACAGGATGATGGTTCTTTCCAGAGCCATTTGCAGCACAAATCTAATCCAGAAGGAAATTTGGAGTGTTCTGCACTCCATTTCTCAGTGAACAGATGACAGGATGCAGGGTGGGTGGGGCAGCTCCACCCTCCCTCCCCAGCTTAATTTTTACGCTTGCACCTCAGCCCACCTGGTACAACCACAGGGTGGGCAGGGCTTAATTTGGGCTTATTTGGGGTGTGTAGGGCTTATATTAGGCACAGGTGGGAAAATTGGTCTAGGGCTTGTTTTGGGGGTAGGTCGTATATTCGGAGAAACATGGTAGATTGCCAGTTTAAATGTAAAATAACAAAATCGGCTTACGTTTCTGTTTTGGATAATGGATCATGTGAATTGCTCTTCGTTCTTATCCATTTGGCCAGTGAAGGTTCCTCAAAATACACTAACAGTAGAAGGAAAAAAAGTAGAGTACAATACACTCAAATCCAGGCAGTCCTCGGCTTACAACTATTCGTTTACTGACCACTCAAAGTTGCGATGGCACTAAAAACAGTGATTTATCAGTCCTCAGGCTTAGTGGCCCTGAAGGGTCCCCCTGTCACGTGGTCAAAATTTAGGAGCTTGGCAACTGCTTGTATAGGACTCACCAAGGTTTACAGCGGAGTTCCCCAAATTTTCCAGGTTGGCAGCCCAGAGTGGGATGATTTGTGGGAGAGGGAGGCAAACACCTGTAGCTTGCGCAAGTGGGGCTGTGCATGCACATGTGAGTAGGGCTGCAAGCACCCGCAATGACGCTTGTGCAAGTGGGGTGTGTGGGCACCCGTGATGATGTTTACGCGAGTGGCACCACAAGCGTTAGCGATGATGCTTGTGAGAGTGGGGCTGTGAGCGTCCCCAACGATGCTTGCATAAGTGGGACTGCGAGTACCTGCCATGCTAGTGGCGATGTCCATGCAAATGGGCTCCACTGTGTGAGTAGGGCTGTGTGTGCCCGCAATGCTGCTTGTGCAAATGGGGCGACAAATGCATGCGATGATGCTTGTGTGAGTGGGGCCATGAGTACCCATGAAGCTCGTGGCGACACTCGTGTGAATGGGCTACGAGTGCCTGCGCGAGTGAGGCTGCATGTGCCAGCAATGACACTTGTGTGAGTGGAGCTGTAAGCGCCCCTGACGAGTGCATGAGTGGGGCTGTAAGTATCCACCAGTGATGGGATTCAGCCAGTTTGCACCTATTCGGGAGAACCGGTTGGTAACTTTCTAAGTAGTTCAGAGAACCGGTTGTTGGAAGAAATCTCCTTTTTTTTTTTTTCACCTTTCCAGGGGAATAACTTTAAAAAAAGAAAGAAGAAAAAAAAATTGTGGTGTTTTT